TCAAGCAAACCAGCCCTACCGTTTGGCTGGATTATTCATTACACAATCTAGCATAACCAACTCTTAAGAACAAACCCAAACCAACAAACAAACAAAAAACTTTAAAAACAACCAAACATGCAAAACCAAAAATGAAAAACAAACAAAAAAACTTTAGTTTAGTCACCTTTATAGTTGCAGTTACCCCACGACCCTAAACCAAACCATCTAACAAAAACTTTAAAAAAACCAAACATGCAAGTAAGAAAAACCAAAAACTTAGAACTGCACTAAAATACAAAAAACCGAAAACAAACAGGAAAACCAAGAAGAAACTTTACCCTTCAGTTTTCGTTGTTCAGTCGTCGTCGATGATTTATACTGTTAATAACGCTGGCCTTAGTTTAGTCGTCCTCCAAGTGTTACCCCACGATTCTCTCGTTCAATAGTCGTTGTTGTTCAGTCTTCGTCGTCATCGTTGTTCAGTTTTCGTTTTTTGTTGTCGTTGTTGTCGTCGGGGCCTCAGTTCAGTTTTCGTTGTTCAGTCATAGTTGTCGATGATGGTCTCCAAACATTGGCGTAGCTTCGTCGTTGTTCAGCCATCGTCATTGTTCAGTTTTTGTTTTGTTGTTGTCGTCGTCGGCCTCTGTCAGTTTTCGTTGTTCAGTCGTCGTCGTCGATGATGGTCCCCAAACAATGGTGCAACTTTTCACAACCTTCTTTAGAGAGTTAGAGAAATGAGAGAGAGTTAAAGAGAAATGAGAAGAAAACGAAGAGGCAAACCAAGTTTTTTTTTTTTTTTCCTTCAAAGTCAACTAATGGGACACGTGTCGATTTTTAAAGTGAAGCTTCTAAGGAAGTTTTGCTCCAGATTTCGAAGAGATTTTTGAAAGTTAAAAATTTGGTGGCTGGGCAAAATGACAGATTACCCTTTATGAAACGGAAATCACTAACGGTATAGAACGGAAAGTACTTATTTGTCGATTCCAAACCTTTGGGTACCCATTTGTCATTACGAAAAACCTTAGGTACTTGTAAGTCGGTTCGGCCTTTAAAAATCAATATCAATTAAGTGACATAAATTAAAAGATGGATTAGAAGTCTAGGCAATTGGCTTATTGACTGGGTTGCTTTCGTTTTGTCAAAGTGTGCAGAGAAGATTAGAGTTGCTAGACTATTAATTGCTTCTCTATGGTCAATGCACCACGTTTATATCTTGCATTGAGAAAATCTGCATGCATAAGATGTATATGCATTAGTCCAATAAGGTATATGTGCAAGTAACATGAGTTGATATGCACTATCTTATTGGTTGAATGCACATTCATCCGATGTCCTTCTACTTTTCATCCAGAACAGGAAAAAAACTAGAAAACAAGTATATGTTTATACCTAACAAACAGGGCAACAGCTGCAATCAAATTGGTTATTAGCATATTAGACTAAAAGAATGGACTTGCAATGAGAACTATACTCTAAATTACACTAAGAACTTAGTTAATTTTGTGGTATCAATTAAAATCATATATCTTTCATGGTAAAAAAAAAAAAAAAATGAACTATTTCAAGTAAATTTATTTCCTACAAGTAGCTAAGAGAAATACAATAAAAAATTCCCCTGATGTTTTTGAAATAACAAAAATTTCACTGCCATTATTGAATGTTAATGAGCTGTTAAAGTTTATACTCGTATGAGTTCATAAATTTATCAAATTACCCTTATACCATTTATTTAACACCTAAACCTAACGACAGGAAATCTCTGTTATTTTAAAACTTCAAGGGGACTTTTGATTTTTTATCACACCTTAGGGAGATTAATGTTATTAACCCTAAGGAAAATTACAATTTACATAAGAACAATCAAGAGATGATATGGATCCTTGTTGGAAGCGTTATATTTCCCCTTAAGTAGAATTTTACATCATTGAGTTACAGGCTATAGCTATTATAGATCCCAAATTAAACATCATTTGAGGAAAAAAAAAAAATAAAGCCACTGCTTTTACCTGAATTTTAAGGGTATTCTATAGACTTCCTTTTTTCCATGGACTAGCTTGTGTGCACCTTAACTAATCCTCTGGCACCTTAGAACTACCGACTGGGTCAAAGCTCTAGTGGCCACCCTATTAAGAGTCGTGGGGACTCGAATTCGGGAAACTATGTTAGATCCTCCTCTTGTTCTTTATTATTAGACCTCAAATTAAACATCATTTGAGTTTAAAAAAAAAAAAAGGCAATTGCTTTACCCTGAATTTTAAAGGTATCTAATAAACTTTTTTTTTTTTTTCCTGGACCAGCTGCAACACACCTCAACTATTCTTCCGAAATCTTGAACTATTGGTCGGGTAAGAGCTCCACTCCTACTAAGGGTCGTGAGGACTCAAACTGAGAGACCATACTAGACCCTCCTCTTGCTCTTTTAACTTAGGAGACCATGTTAAATCATTCTTTGCTCTTTTACCATAAACACCCAGTGGTGGTTACATACTTCCCTTTGTAACTTCATAACATGAGAAAATTCAAAAGAATCATTGTAAAATAAAATAATTCAGGACCAAATTCACAAACAAGAATTATAATCATACTAAAACTCTCATTAATAAAAGGAACTGTTGGCACTTTACTATAGCCTAAACCCTACTACAATTCCACTTCTTCTCCATGGTTTCTTGCACTGGAAGTACAAAATTGGTACGCCATGAATAAACACCTTAACCAGGCAGATATAATTTACCAGAACAAATCCAACTAAGGCTGTCAACGAGCCGAGCAACTTGCGAGCGGCTCGATTAAAACTCGTTTGAAGCTGACTGGGCTCATTGAAATAATCAATTCAAGTTCGATTAGTATCACCTTGGCTCGATAGGGCAAGCCAAAGTTGACTCGCATAACTAAGGTGCTTTTAGATGCTTTTGAAACTATAGGGGATCTAAATTTTTTTTTTCTAACTATAGACATTTATAAAATAACAAATCAGACCCCAATATTAAAATTGGTAAAACACGATTCTTGAATCAGAAATTCAAAATGATTTAACCCAAACACTTCACAACACCATCAATCTTGTAATCTCCATTAGCTAAATGAAAATTCCTAATCAGTCATTGTTCTCGCCGTCAGAAGACACCAACACCACATGTACTAATTCCGTAAGCTGAGCCGTCGTTCATCTCTTTATTGTTGTTTCGTCGTTAGACGACGCCGACGCCACATGTACCTTAATTCCATAAGCTGCCTGCCATTCATCTTTTTACTGTTGTTCTTGCTATCAAATGTCTTCTTTTTGAACTCTTCCTGTTGATCAGAGATTTCAAGGTAGTTGTTATGAATTAGTGTTTGCCTTGTGGGTTTTTAGGTGTGTGAAAATCTTGGGTATATATTCTCTTATATTTTGTTCGGATAACCCAACTTATGTTCAACATCTTTCCTAAATGAAGGTGCATATTACTATTATCATACAACATTATCCTGATCATAAGCATTGTTTGTTTGTTTGTTTGGTTGCCAAGAAAAGAAAAAACCATTTTGCTTAAGCTTTGATAAAGACCCATCTAACAACTCAAACAATTGGGCTGGGTAGTAGGCCTTTTATGGGCTTGGATAGAACCCTCCTTAGAAAACCGACTTGCCAAGGGAGGGTGTCTAAGCCCTTTATAACCCATATGCTCACCATTTTCCCTTTCAATGTGGGATCCTAACATCTCCCACGCTTCGAGACCCAACGTCCACATTGACCCACTCTAGACGGCTTCACTCTGGGTGGCCTACTCTCTAAGGTTGCCCCTCATGGTAACCCTTTCCTAGGTCGCCCCTTCCGAAACATCATTGGCCACTCTGGATGCCTTCACTTTGGGCAGCCTACTCTTAAGGGTGCCCCTTCCTAGGCCGCCCCTTCTAAAACATCGTTGGCCCATTTTGACGACTTCACTCTAAGTGACTACTCTTAGAGGGCGCCCTTTCCCAGGTAGCCCTTTCCTAGGTTGCCCCTTCTGAACATGGGCTTGGGCAGAGTTTGGCTTTGAACCATTTGATAAAGACCCATTAACAACTCAAACAATTGGGTGAGCAGTGGGCCTTTTGTGAGCTTGAGTAGAGCTCTCATTGGAAAAATGGCTTGCCAAGGGAGGGTGTCCAAACCCTTTATAACCCATATGCCCACCCTTTTCCTTTCCAATATGGGATCCTAACAAGCTTTAAATCAAATCAAAGAAGAGGGGAGATTTTTTGGCAGGGCCATTGATATGCTTATATTTGGTGTGAAGTAGTTCATCTATTTGTATGTAGCATCAGACTTGTTTGCCCCTAATCACTAATCGAGTTCGAGTCGAGCTAGAAATTTCTGGCAGTGGCTCGGCTTGAAACTCAAATCGCCTATATGTAATCAAGCCGAGCTCGTTTAGCCGAAAACTGGCTCGGCTTGGCTCGATTACAACTTATCCAACAATTATCGGAATTGCAGTAATTTTTTAATGCCCATCATCAAATTAATGCCACGAGGCATTATGAGCAATATTGTACCCACGAGATTCAGAAAAAAAAAAACCATTTCCTAACATCTCAATAGAGTATAAACTGGTAAACAAATGACGTTTAAGTATATGATAATTAAACTCGTGGAGAAGAAAAAATTCACATTATGATGACGTGATCTAAGCATGAAAGAAACATATATTAAAAATTATCAAATAAAGCACTATTGAGTTTTGACAGCACATTATTGATTCTGAAATTTGCCCTCACTGTAGCTTACTGGAAGTAAACATATAATAACAAATCTGATAGAATGTGTTTGGCACAACAAATATAATTCTTGGGGTTATACAGATAAAACAACATATTTAATTATCGAAATTACACTCAAACAGAAGGAAAACAGAAAAAAGATCTTCTCATCAGGGAATACTTTCAGTGATAAATTGAAAATTGGGTATTTTACTATATTTCAAGTCCCTTGCAATTCAACTTCTCCATGACTTTTGCACTGATAGTACAAAACTGTATATGCCATCAACCAAACATCTTAACTAGCAGAGAGAATTCAATATAAGCAATCCAATTATCACTTCAACTGCTGCAAAATCTTTGAATTTGAGAAACTTAAACCCCAGTAGAATAATAAAAGAGAGAATTGTCATCACAAGATTAACAAGAATCCTGCAGTCCATGCCCTTAACAATCTTAGCCGCCTTTCCAAGCGCCTCGATTCCATAGCTTTCTTCAAGCACCGGAACAGCAAGAGCTAAAGTCCACACAACAGCCAAGTAATCATACAAAGCCTCAGCCAAAACCGATAGCAAAATAAAATAAACTTTCAAAGCAAAAGGACTTTGAAAACTCATCGTGAGAGGAAGAGGAAGCAGAACTAATGCAAGGAAAATGTAGCCAACACCAAAGAGTGTCAGGTAAAGCAAAGTAAGAAATGGTCTTTTGAATGAACTTGCCGCGGTCGAAAACAAGTCCTTTAAGGAGAAATTTTTGCCACTGTATGTTGTTGCTGATGCTAAGATTGTGGCGGATGAGAAGAAGAAGGAGATGAAGGAGCTGATGACAAGGAAAATCCATTCAGTGCCAACAAGGATTCTTTTATCTTTTTGTGCTGCAACAAGAAGGTTTGCATATTTTGGGATGTTGGGGCTGGTGAAAAGGAGGCGGCTGTCGTCAGTTATCCATTTTGAGAGCAACGGTTTCATGGAGAAAATATTGAACAAGAAAAGGAGAGAGTGAACTGAGAGGGTGAGCAAGGTGAAAGAGGCCATGAGCTTCCCATTTTTGTGGAAGATTTTGAGGGCTTCTCTGAGAATATCTACAAAACCAAGAAGAAAATGTGATGCCATTTCTGAGTATTGAAATTCTCTGAAACTTTTTGCACAACAAATGAGCTAATTATACTGTTATGTGTTGAATGAATCTACTCCTACACTGTGTGCATGAGGAAGAAAAGTCTTGGTATGTACCTGAGGAAGAACAGTCTTGGTGAAATTGTTGTCCAAGTGATGGGGCTACCAACACCATGTACCTGAGGACGAAATTAAGTGACATAAATTAAAAGATGGATTAGAAGTCAAGGCAATTAGAGTATTTGACTGGGTTGCTTTGTTTTGTTAAAGTATACCAGAGAAGATTAGAACTAGTCTATTAATTGCTTCACTATGGTCAATGCACACATTTTATATCCTTGCATTTGAGAAAAAATTATGTTATTTTTGAAACTTGAAGGGGATTTTTGTTATTTTATAATATCATAGGGAATTATTGTTATTAACCCTAAAGAAAAATACAATTGACATAAAGAAACAATACAAAGAGATGAATATTGTCACATCCAGCCTAAGCCTAAGTCTATACAAGACCCAATATCTAGTTTAGGAGACTTTGACTCAAGAGCATTAAAGAATATGTCAAAAAATATTTCTAGAAGCTGCCAAAATGTTCCTTCACGACAGCAAAGTAGGACTAGGATTTTATTACTTAAATAATTAATCCTAGACATCAATCTTAAAGGATATGTACATATTTGGATTTTTTGATGTACTTGTAAACTCTTATGTAAAGCTATTTAGTTTTAGATTATTTTCATATTTCAAGTATTGTATTCAACTAAAGGCAATATAAGAGAGTTTTTTGTTCTTTTATATTCTTTGTGTTTTTTATTTTTTCTTTGAGAGTTTGCGGTTATTCAGGCTTACTTAATGTCTGATCTCTTGTTTATCTTTGAGAGTTTGCGGGTTATTCAGGCTTATTTAGTGTCTGGTCTCTTGTTTGTGCACTAAAATTGTACGATTCTTTTAAGGGTTATGACAATATAAAGGGATTAAATGGATCAAATCAACTAAGAAATTAAATAATTAAATTGACTGTGGAACATGGAATTACTATTAGAACAATTAAATATACACAATTGTATTGGTTTTTTAATAAAATCCTTCATAATTGTATTAAATAATTGAATTCCTGTAATATATTTTAATATTTAAAATTTAGATTGTAGACAATGCAATCTTAAAAATTGTTGTAAATGAATACTTGAATATTTATTGGTCTTCATCTCTATTTCATTTTTTAATTAATCCATTGATCTAAATATTAAAAAGAGATTATTCAATTATTTGTATTTGAATTAAGATACAATATAAGATTGCAGCCCTTTCTTTAGTTTAGTATGAAATTAAAGGTGTGAAATTTATTAATACCCTCCAAATAACCAAAGAAAACAATTACTTTGGGTTAAATAAATTGAATATTAAAATTATATAATACCCAAATAGGGAGAAATTTATAACATGAATGTTAAAATTAAAAGGCATGATAAAATAAAAAATATATTTTGTGCTCTTCATTTATTTTAATGATACAAATTGAATCTCACTTGTGTAATTTTGACCCTTTTATTTTAATTTCTCATATTAAAAACATGTTTTTTTATTTTTTTAAATTAATTAATTTTTTTTTTTTTATAATAAAATCATCTATTCAATCCAATTAAATTTGTTAAAAGTATATTAAACTAAGCTTGATTCTAACCCACTTAGGAAACTAAATTGGACTACAATCTGATTCAAAAATTAAATGAGGAGTATTTTTCAAACCATACATAAACAGTAGTTCAGTAAAAAACAATATTAATTTTCATCTAAAAAATATCATTTTTCCTTAATTATTTCCCATTAAATAAAGTTGAGATTGATTAAAAAAAAATAATAATAATAATAATTCATTATTATTATTTATTTATCTTAATTCACTTATTTAGAGAGTTGTCGGGTTAATGAAGTCATGCTCAACAATACTTTCATTATATTTGCATTCTTGTATAAGCAAAAAATCGTCTTGGATCTTATTAGGCTCAACCACGGAACATTTACTACGTGACCCAGTGTCATGACCCAATTCGGGTTGGGCCTACTCTAAGATTTATTCCATGGGCCAGCCCATTGCACCAACCAAGCTACTCACAAATTGGACATCCAATCACTAAGGCCTTGTCTGGAATTGGGTCTCGCCATTAGTCCATTTGGGCTTATGGTCGCTCCAAATAACCCAAAGTTCTATTCATATAATAATTCATCTATTTCCTATTTTGTCTAAGATTCTGAATCTTATATGAATTATGAATTTTTCTTTTACAAAGCAAGTAAATCAGGACTTTTTGATATAAAGTTTATTACTATCAGTTTAATTTTTGATATAGGAATAGGAAAATCGATAAATTATAAGGTTGATTTTTTATTTTTTATTTTTGATTTTTGATTTTTAACTATATACAATTACATTGTTGTTTTAATTAATGACCTTTCTGGCGATGTCCAAGATATATTTTAAATCAGTAATACTATTAGTCCCAAATGATATCCCAAAATTTTCATTCCCAAATGACGTGTTATGTCATGTGACCCCTTTCAATATGAGTCTCCATATAAGGGGATCTAGATCAACTTGCAGATAAATTAGGGGTATACATGGAATTTGACCCCTTTCAATAAATTTTCATGCCTTCTAAAGTTAAGAAGCTCTAATACTCTATCCCACACTTTTTTTGTTTTTTTTTTTAAATAAGATTGAATTTGATATTATAGATTTTTTTAAAGGCCATTTCATAAGATTTAATTTGTTAATGAATTATAAGATATTTGAGAAAACCAATTGATATATTTCATTAACAATTTCTTGCATTTATATTATTGGAGTAAGATTATGTTTTTAATAATACTATGACTAATCAACAATTATTTATATTAACAAAACCGACCCACATTTACCTTTACTTCCATAAGCTGCCTGCCATTCATCTTTTTACTGTTGTTCTTGCTATCAAATGCATCTCTTTTGAACTCTTCCGTTGATCAGAGATTTCAAGGTAGTTGTTATGAATTAGTGTTTGCCTTGTGGGTTTTTAGTGTGATAAAATCTTGGGTTATATTTCTCCTTATTATTTTGTTCGGATAACCCAACTTATGTTCAACATCTTTCCTAAATGAAGGTGCATATTACTATTATCATACAACTTATCCTGATCATAAGCATTGTTTGTTTTTTTGTTTGGGTTGCCAGAAAGAAAAAAACCATTTTGCTTAAGCTTTGAAGACCCATCTACACTCAAACATTGGGCTGGGTAGTAGGCCTTTTATGGGCTTGGATAGAACCCTCCTTAAAAACCACTTGCCAAGGGAGGTGTCTAAGCCCTTTAATACCCATATGCCACCATTTTCCCTTTCAATGTGGGATCCTAACATTCTCCCACGCTTCGAGACCCAACGTCCACATTGACCCCTCTAGACGGCTTCACTCTGGGTGGCCTACTCTCTAGGTTGCCCCTTCATAGGTAACCCTTTCCTAGGTCGCCCCTTCCGAAACTCATTGGCCCACTCTGGATGCCTTCACTTGGGCAGCCTACTCTTTAGGTTGCCCCTTCCTAGGCCGCCCCTTCTAAAACATCGTTGGCCCATTTTGACGACTTCACTCTAATGACCTACTTTAGAGGTCGCCCTTTCCCAGGTAGCCCTTTCCTAGGTTGCCCCTTCTAGAACATGGGCTTGGGCAGAGTTTGGCTTTGATACCATTTGATAAAGACCCATCTAAAACTCAAACAATTGGGTTGAGCAGTGGGCCTTTTGTGACTTGAGTAGAGCTCTCATTGGAAATGGCTTGCCAAGGGAGGGTGTCCAAACCCTTTATAACCCATATGCCCACCCTTTTCCTTTCCAATATGGGATCCTAACAACTTTAAATCAAATCAAAGAAGAGGGAGATTTTTTTGGCAGGGCCATTGATATGCTTATATTTGGTGTGAAGTAGTTCATCTATTTGTATAGTAGCATCAGCACTTGTTTGCCCCTAATCACTAATCGAGTTCGAGTCGAGCTAGAAAATTTCTGCGCTCAGCGGCTCGGCTTGAACTCAAATCGCCCTATTGTAATCAAGCCGAGCTCGTTTAGCCGAAAACTTGGCTCGGCTTGGCTCGATTACAACTTATCCAACAATTATCGGAATTGGCAGATAATTTTTTACTGCCCATCATCAAATTAATGCCACGAGGCATTATGAGCAATATTGTACACACGAGATTCAGAAAAAAAAAAAACACATTCCCTTACATCTCAATAGAGTATAAACTGGTAACAAATTGACGTTTAAGTATATTGATATTAAACCTCGTGGAGAAGAAAAAATTCACATTATGAGGACGTGAATCTAAGCATGAAAGAAACATATATTAAAAATTATCAAATAAAGCACTATTGAGTTTTGACAGCACATCTTATTGATTCTGAAATTTCCCTCACTGGCCTTACTGGAAGTAAACATATAATAACAAATCTGATAGAATGTGTTGGGCACAACAAATAATAATTCTTGGGGTTATACAGATAAAACACATATTTAATTATCGAAATTACCATCAAACAGAAGGAAAACAGAAAAAAGATCTTCTCATCAGGAATACTTTCAGTGATAATTGAAAATTGGGTATTTTACTATTTCCAGTCCCCTTGCAATTCAACTTCCTCTCCATGACTTTTCTTGCACTGATAGTACAAAACTGTATATGCCATCACCCCAACATCTTAACTAGCCAGAGAGAATTCAATATAAGCAATCCAATTATCACTTCAACTGCTGCAAAATCTTTGAATTGAGAAACTTAAACCCCAGTAGAATATAAAAGAGAGAATTGTCATCACAAGATTAACAAGAAATCCATGCATTTCCATGCCCTTAACAATCTAGCCGCCTTTCCAAGCGCCTCGATCCATAGCTTTCTTCAAGCACCGAACAGCAAGAGCTAAAGTCCACACAACAGCCAAGTAATCATCAAAGCTGCAGCCGAAACCGATAGCAAAATTAAAAACTTTCAAAGCAAAAGGACTCTGAAAACTCATCGCGAGAGGAAGAGGAAGCAGAACTAATGCAAGGAAATGTAGCCAACACCAAAGAGTGTCAGGTAAAGCAAAGTAAGAAATGGTCTTTTGAATGAACTTGCCGCGGTCGAAAACAAGTCCTTTAAGGAGAAATTTTTGCCACTGTGTGTTGTTGCTGATGCTAAGATTGTGGCGGATGAGAAGAAGAAGGAGATGAAGGAGCTGATGACAAGGAAAATCCATTCAGTGCCAACA